TTGAAATCCACGTGCAACATAATATGCATCACTCAAATAACAAGACCCAGCAGGATACAAAGCCATTTAAATAGAGGACTTTTCTAAATTAGCTGGTTAAAGTACAAGACAATGAGTGATTTGTAGCATGGAAGAGGGATTTGCGATCAAGTGAGATGTAATTGTGGAATGAAAGAAATGGAACAGACAAAAAGGTTCGCTAGCATAACAAATATGCATTGGATGTTGTACCACATTAAAGCCGGAGATCGTGCAAGATCTTGCCCATGAAGCTGCGAAAACGCCTCACACGCCCATGGAATATGACCATCAGCTAGAACCCTGCGAGAACACCAGAGCCAATAAGTATGTTACCATACAAGTTTACACAGTTTCAAAGATCAAATATCTGTTCTTAAAACCTAAATTTGAATATTTTTCTATTCATTTTAGATGTCATCTACCAGTGACAAAATGGCACACTCAGAATTTGTAAAAGTTGGGCAGAAAGGTCCAATCCTACAAAAGAAATTGTAGAACAAGTTCAACACCACCACCAATCATCAACACGTATGGTGGATGCTAACAGGTTGATTGAGGCTATTCAACAGCCAAATGGTCCAACCTTTCAATAGTGGATGAACTTCATCCTCCGCCCATTCCCGACAGCCATAACTCTTCCACAGCGCTGCCATTCAATCTTGGGATACCACGGTCTGCTATATCTCCCTTGCATATCACATTCACATAGCAGGATACAAGTTGACTCCCCATCCTCAACAAGAAATGGAAGAGGCTGAGTTATGCCTCACTGAAACAGGGCAACTCCACTGTTGCAACTGCCAACTATGTTGTGCAATCTGGAAACCAAGGACCATCTCCAACTCTAGTGACAGAAAAAGGAGACTTACATGTCTGGTTGGTTCTTAGATAGCCACTCAGCCTTTACTATTCGGCAGACATGAACTAAGGTGTCAAGGATACTTCAAATGCTTCTCCTTCCCGTATCAGGTATTCCAAAATATTGTGAGACTTGTGGGACACTTGCCAACAACATGTGTCATGTGTCAAGTAGTTAAAACATATTATGACACTTGTACCATTAGTATATTTTATATGCACTACATGTATAATGTAGACACTCGTATTATCTAAATATGGTCAACACGAGTCAAATATTGGCAATATGTACATAATTGGCCACTCGACTTATCGGTGCTCTATGTGTTTGAAGTAATTTTGTGAACATTTGCTACTTATATAAAAAAATTTCATCCTTGCAAGTTTCATCTATGATGATTATAGATTCCCTATATTTTACAAGGTATATAATTTCAATAACATATATGATAATATACATGTTCTAGTTGTGTGTCTATGTCATCCCAAGTCCTTTCGAGAGGTTTGGCATATTGGAGTATTCATATCATGTCATGTCTATGTCATGTGTTTGTATGCATGCTTCATGCGGTTAACCACAATGGCACAGTATCAACCATAAATCAACACAACTTCAGGGTTCGTGTTCCATAATTGCCTTGGGAACAGGCTGCTTTCAGCCTGTCTTTACTGGTATGATTATATTAAAAAAAACCCAAAAGATGTATTAGCTTCAGCGACTTAATCAAGTCACACAGAATATGAATACCGATGTAGGAGTGAGTCAAAGGAAACTCTGCAACACCTTACCCTCTTAAACTATTAATGAGTGGAACCATATCAGAAAAGCTCAAAAAATGCATTCCTAACTGAGTAGTCTATAAATCCTTTATTAAGCTAAAAAATTCTTCTTTTTCAATCTTATCTAATTTTAAGAAACATTCTTAAAATTAGATAAGATTATTTGTGAACATCATTTACTTGGAACCAAGAAAGCTCTAAGCTTAGTTACTAAAGGAATGTAAAACGAGAAAACTACAACTTGACATGCTGATCACTATTATTTTTTCAAGTTAGACAAATTTCAGACTTCAAACTTGAGTTTTATGACTATGCATGTTAACTAAGTTGCTTGCCAGAACAAAAGTGAACTCTGCAAAAACAATGGGAGCTCTTTACACACATAATATTTCTAGCGTCTATATTGTATTAACATCCCAGACACTTGTATTTATTCCTGTAAAAGACAAGGATATTTGCAAAATTCATCAAGTCAAATACTCCAATTATATACATCCAGTTTAATAGATTTAAAGTAATATTTCCATGTATATGTTGGTTTAATTAAACTACAAAGATTAGTTAAAGAAATCTCAACTATGAGTAAGTTGAAATTATGGGAGACACTATTGCAAGGGATATTAATTGGCCAAAGCATATAAAGATTACCTTTGTTTCCTGACAAAAGAATTCCACAGATGCATAATTTGTTTCTCATCCTTTGTCACATCCACAAAATCATCAAGCATCTGCATCATGTTGTATATCATTATGGAAACAGTAAAATTTTGTCAATACCATGAACATTAAACGTTCTATTTAACATAATTACACATCTCCAAGGCGACATCCTAGTCGATAAGGCGCATCATGCATAATTAAGAGATCAAGATGGTACTTATAAATAGGAGTAAAATCAAAAAATATATATCATTAGACAACAACCAAATGCCCTGAAGGAGACCAACTCAGACAATAAGGCACTCAAATACTTTGCTTCTCTTTCTTCCTTTGTTGACAGAAAAAGGATCAATAGGCAAGTTATGACAATATCTTACCCTCCTATCTTCAAAATCAGCAATGTCATCGTCAACTTCATCTTCACTGTCCCGATCTGAAAATACTTGCTCCAATGCCATTGGCTTCGATGTAAAAGTTACAACACAACTTATCAAACTTGAATGAATTGAATAATGTATGGCCATGAAAAATATGCAGAAAATAAAATTTCAAGAAAAAAGAGAATGTCAAGAAATAGTAATAGAGTACATCTTTCACAAAATAGCATTAACAAAAAATATACTATTACAGAAATCAAAGTAGACTAGTTAATTAAAAGCAACATCAAGTGAGGTGAAAAAACCAAAAAAGCCCATAGAAATGCAACATAAAAGTCAGTGAAGGTCAAAAGTAAGTCCAAGCATAGACTATTATTATTAGGTAAAAACAATACCAGGACACTGTTGCAAATATTCTCGTAACCATGGTTTGATGTTTCACCAGTGCCAGTCCCCAACCAGACCAGTATGGGCCCAGTATGCTGATACACAGTACACCAACATGTATACAAGGTGTTAGGAGGCACATGTTCCCGTCCATACTGCAGAGACCTGATATGATTGAACTGGTACATATTGCTTGATATGTACCGGTCCAAACAAAACACAGAACCATGCTCCTAATAAAATATGAACTTTAGCTCCTCGAATATGTTGGATTCTTTATTGTCAAGATTTCTTGACATGAAAGAAAGTCAAATTTAAGAATTGGCTCTAAAGTCTAACAATATATCCAGTGTAGCATACAGGAAACCACTAGATACTTTGCCTCCAAATGCCACAAGCCTCATGGATTATGATCATCATTAAGATTAAAACTGTTCTTCATCCGGGTAGAAACAATATGCAATATTCCTTTTCTTTTCTACTGTAATAAACTGACTTTATTGAAGTTGACCTTGAAAGGAGAGTTCCTTATTCTCCTTTTCCACCTAACTTACCTATCCTACTCGTACCTTTCCTCTCACCCCTATCCCTCCTCTCTTCCTCCTCCCACGGAAACATAAAAAAGAAATATCATCATGAGACCTAAAGATAGGAAGAATCATTTAAGATGATACAGGTATATGTTAACGAAACATATTTAAATTATTGTTACTAATTACTGTTGGCAATACAAGAAGAGGAAGCCCTAAAATACCATTAAAACTATTTTTAAAAAAAGTACTTTGAACTTAACTAATGATTTGACCTTTTATAGAGCACAATGACAACAAGAGATCAATGTAGCCGACCTCAAATAATTGAGACTTTTCAACTTTATTGTTTGTATCTTGCTAGTTGCTACAATTCATGTTGCAGTAGCCATGCTTAAGTCATAAATGTGAAATATTAGAACTGATCACTGTATGTACAATTCATGTTCAGGCAAAAATCAATAAGTAAACCATGTTCTTTCAAATTGTAAATGGAAAAAAGGAAGATATCACTGCCAACCAAAAAGAGGAAATATTATGTGCCATGGTAGCAAACAACCATGGTACAGTATACATGTGAGCCATAATTTCTCGCTTTAGTGCACACAGTTTGCGAAGCTTCACCAGGCTAAATTCATGGGTATGATTAATGTACCTAACTAGCTCCCAAAATGACACACCTCAAATATTAAATTCAAAGAACCATTTTGTTCTTGTTCAACCAAACTACAAAACATATAAATAACCTTCTATATGCTTAATCTTAGCCTTGTTAAAGAAATTATTCCAGCTAGCAAAAACAACCTCCCAGTTGTATGTTATAATATAATCTAAACAAAATAAACATAGAAAAAGAGACTTCACGTAATAGTCTAGCGTCCAAAAAAAGGGAAAGAGGTACAGCTTAAAGTTCATAAGCACACAACATTGCAAGCTACTAATAGGGAGTTCATAAAGATAGGCCAAAGTAAAGATTGTGTATCACCTGAGCTCTATGAGAGTGAAAGAACTGACGTTTTTGTAGCAGTGCGCGACTGTAAATTGAAGAGGATTGGTAAAGAAAATTTCAATCATATTGAAACAACTAACATAAACAGGGCACACCACATAGTGTTGCATATTGTAAACAAAAATATACTATTCGTAGTCTATAAATAATTAGGAGGAGATAGAGACCAACTTTCTGGGGTCAGCCCGCTCATCAGATATCCTCCGCATCTTTGCAAACTGCAGCATATTCTGTGATACTAGATTGGTTGCAGATGCTTGTTGAGCAAAATCATTGCTTGTAGAAGCTTGAGTTGTAGCACCACAAACACCTGTCGTATCAGGGCCAGATAACATAGGTCTTGTGTACTCTTGAGCATGATTCTGTGAACTAAAGCTTTCATATTTATGTCTCACTGGGAGCAAGTGAGTTTCACGGAATAGTGATTTAAGTTTTTTTCCTTCATCTTTGTAAGAACCACCATCTGTTTCATAATTGTTATTCAATTCTATTTACTAGCCACTCAAACATGCGATCACAATACCAAAATCAGCACGTACCATGACATCCATTCGTAAGTGAAGCATCTGCTATATACACATGAGGTCTTTGAGAGGAACATGTGCCATTATCTTTGTTATCATAATCTCCATGAGAACCTTCTTGGGCTGCTTCAGGTGAGCCAACATGTGGATGTACATGATTTGCTGTCTGGACACTATTTTTAGATCTTCTACGTCTCTTGATGTTCGAGCTGTTACTACGATTCATTTTCAAGTTCAAAGGACTTCATTAGTTTAAAGTAACTTGTGGAAATACATGCAAGGAGAAAAATAACAAAAAAGATTACCAATAGGAAAATGTTTGCAGCCTTGGATCAACTCCATCAGATACAACCTGAAAATATCATAAGAAATAAGAAATAATTTCAACAGATGGTTTTTCAAGCTGGGACAAAAACCAGAAACTCAAAAGCCAGGATGGGTCACTACAATGCATGACATAAACCAAGTTGGATGACTACAAGGGAAGAAAGTCAAACTGGTGATTCACCTTGCAGACTTTCGCACATCTTCTCTGGTTCAGAAGGCCAAATGTCTGTCTCATGTGTACGTATGTTCTTTCATGTCATATCAAAGTACTTAATTATCACATCTTCATTTCCTGCTCATCTGCTTGATTGTTTCTTTCTTATTTTTCTAAAGGGTGATTTCAAAAGATAGCAAAATTGTGAATTCTTTTGGTTCCAGCTGTACTTTGTATTACACAATCTTACACCGTATCATGTGCCTTTCACCTCTTATGTTTACAATTTATCCAATTCCTTACAGTGACCGTCAGAGTTGTCCATGAAATTGCCCAAACGATATGCTCAATTTTTTTTTTATCAATTGATTTGTTTAATCCAAATTTTTATTTGACTATTATCTTTTGTGCAATAAAGCAAGTGTTCTGCACATTCTGATGTCAACAATTTTCTGTTAGATTCTGTTCATCCAAATTTTAGTTTCTCATATTACATCGCACACAAGAAATCGAAGTAATACATAAGTCACCATTTTGGTTACGTTGAATGGGATCATGTATTGGCAGCAAATCCAATCATAATGGCAAAGACTTAGAATAGTGGTCTCCCAATTTGAAGTATAAGCTGACCACCTATGTACAGTCACAATTTCAAAATCAGGGAATTCTGATCTATGATGGCAAATCTGGATTGAGATGAGACAGAACTACCCCCAATGCGTGAATATGTGTACTCAAAAACAGACAACCCTCACTGACCTATTATGATTGTCAACTGTTTCCAACATGAATCATCGGATTAATGATATATAAAAATAAGAAGATGAAAAGGAAAGAACAAAGAAAAAGAAGGGGGAAAAGATGAGGAAGAATATCTGTGTTATTGATCTTACAATGCTCTTCAGCTTTGATTTTTTTTTTTTCATATTTTAAATTATTATATAAAAATGTAAGAAAAGGAAAGTATTCAAGATGTCACGACAAATAAAATTCTCTCAGATATTAAAACCACATAAGCTTGTTTCTTAGCACTCTCACTCAGCACACTAATCAATATAGGTTATGCTAAATAAACAGAAAACTAAAGCCACAATTTTTCAAAAGAAGGTATTGATGATTGTAAATAACCTCAGATCTCCAGATATCAGTCCTCACAGAAACATTCACAGCCTGATATTCTTCAGTTACCTGGGAAAAAGTTAGCCACACATACATTGAATGCCTGCAAGAAAATAAAATACAAAGACTCCAGAAGTTTACCAACCCAAAACTCAAAATTGAAAAGGTCATGGGAAGAATTCAAGTGACATCTAAGACCCTACAAAAACAATACCAAGATGTTAGAAATTAAACCTAGAAAAGATCCAATACAGAATTTACAACCAACATATATATATATATATATATATATATATATATATATATATATATATATCTTACCTTAAAGCTCGCAGACTTCACTAAACAAAAAGGACAAGAGAAGTCCTCCGTAACTGTTATTTAAGGAAACAAATGAATCAAAATTTGAAAATGAATGCAATATACAAGAAAAATTAATTTGAAATAACCAAATGTCAGTAAGAGAAAATTCATATAAATCAAAAATAGAAATACGCTTCGCAATGTGGGATATGGGGAGGATCAATTTACATAGTCTTACTCTTATAGGAAAGTTGATCCCATTACTCAAAACCCGAGTCACCTGGTTTTCAAAGGAGCAACCTTCTACCAAGGCTTGTCTTCTACTAATGTGGTCTCTCAAAATAATATTCTAATATTAATGTTTGTAAATAATAGTAAACTGCACAAAAGTACAATGTATATCTGAAGACTACACTAGTTCATACACTTTACTAAAAGATGATAAAGTTTGCCAACAGACAAATAAATACAGTGGCCAAAAATTCATGCTTAAGAGTAAAATGCAACCAAAAAGCAACTATATACACAGGTTTGCTGAGTAACACAAGAGAGTGAACAAAAAGAAAGAGATCACCTTCAGTCTTTTGCAGCATATTGTTGTAGTATCTATAGTTAAACAGTACATTCCCCGTTCTCAATCTACATGGTAAAAATAGATCAATTAGGAAAGAAGGCAAGTAAAAAAAGAGAACAGCAAAAGAAAATCACAGACACAACATATAATGACTGACTTAACAAAATCAATATTCTCTCACCTGAAGCCTATTTCTTAAGATCACATTTTTAGACCAAATGTCAGGACTTTCTAGTTAAACTCTTAGGATTAAAAATAAAGCAGAAAATTGAACTTCAGTAGCACTGATTAACCAGAAACTTCACTGAAAATTGCATCAGTGTCCTTTAATATGACACATAAACAGTACACATTTAACAGAGAAAAAAAAAGGTAGGTAACCCATATTAACATACTACTACTTTAAAATGCTTAAAAATAATATAAATGGAAACTCCAATTGTCTATGCTAAGAAAGCTTGATCCCCTTCTCATCTGATCCCCTTCTCATCCTTCGCATGATTAACTATACCTCTGGAGAATTAATATGTACGCCACAGAGAACCACTTTATTTCTGTAAAACTATAAGTTGATTCAAATCCTGCATTTTGGTAACCTACCCCTTTGACACTGAAAAAAACAAAAAAGAGAGTAACAGTGATCGCCTGAAAGACCATCAATCTGGAGAAATTGTAATGACACAATTGGCCCCTGTACTTTGTCTAGATGGCAACTAAAGCACTAAACCTTCTTTTTTTTGTTGAGAATCTGAACTCTATTCTTTTTTATACTGCAATTGCAATGATTAACAACCCCAGCAACCAGCCACACCTGTTACCCAGCCTACAAATGCAAGTTTGTTCAAATTATGCAAGCTACACTCTGCGACAAAGTATAATGCATGACAAAGGCATTTAGTAAATACATCGTACATAATAATGACACAGGTCTCCTTCAAAGACACCTAAAATATATGAAAGCTTGTAACATGAGCAAACTATAAAATACCAAAAATTGACACAATAAAGAACCTGCTGTGATCACATACTCATGCGTGGACTCAATACAGGCGCAAGCCAGCTGGTCATTAGCAGACAAAAAACAACTACAACAATGTAATAGTACAATGAATAAAGCATGGTAAATCATTCTGGCATGTGAGATACTAGAAACCAATTAAAATAAGAACAAAAAAAAGAAACAAATTATGGGACAATAAATGAATTTTTAATTACCTGATAATGTGAGGTAAAGATGATGTTGGAATATCATCATATGAGTAAAAGTCATAGGGAGATGTCTCACTTGCTCCAACCTCTTGAGCATATATGCTGACTTGAAGTTGGAAAGTACTCTAAAATGAAGAATATCAACTATCATTACAGAACCTATACCATTGAAACTAAACAACAAACATAAGAGTATAAACTTACTGCCGAATCTATACTTTGAGTTTGAATAAAAATGCAGTCATTCCTGCCCAAATATTTAGGCTGCAAAAGTGTATTAGTGTCAGTATGTACACCAAACATGCTTTGACAGAAAGCATCCTATGTGCTGAGATATTAAAAATAAATACATTCAAACAGAGGTCCTGATTGCAGATTAGCTACTCTGTCAAACTGGCAATAAATCTTAACTTATTGATTGGTAAGGCCAAAGTCGTTTGAAAAGGTTTAATATACATGCAGATTAGCTTGTCAAAGATCATATTTAAGCTTTGTCAATGAACACAACATGATAAACACCATGTTGTCGTACAAAATATGTTTTCGGCTCCAATATAAATGTGTCCAATGGAGATAGTCCCATAGAAGTAAACCTGCTGGCATGTTGGCTAGCAAAGCTAAGAGAATAGGTTCATGACCAAAATCAACAGTAACAAGAAATAGGATTCTTGAGGTTATACTAATATGTGATGATTTAAAATAATATATTCATACTGCAATTTTTCAGATACCTCCAAAATGCTTGGTTGCATATTAACAGCTGAACGTATATCAGTTCGATGGCCTAAGCTCAATGTCACACACTGCTCCAATGATAAACAAAGTGAATCAACTGGTATTTTTCCCCAAAGGCAATTTCCTTCAAGTTCTGGAAGTAGGGCAGGAAAGGAATCAATATTGTTGTTTTATGTAACAAATAAAAAAACTATGCTAATTATATTATTAGAAACAATAATGTGATTTTGTATCTTTGCATTTTATATTATATTCTCATCCAATAGATTATCTTTTTGAGAAGCGATATAACCAAAGAAAGAGCATACAAGCACAAAAACAACATTGCATTCACTTGCAGCCTAAGGTTATTGCAATCCAAAACAATGAATACTTACAACAAGATCCACAATCATAATATTAAATGTTAAGTGAAATGGCATGCCCAAGAAAACTAAAACCATGATTCAACATATTAATATCAACATGCAGTGTGAGCCCAATGCATATTAATATCAACATCTTAAAGTCATTAAGAGTGCATTTGGGAAACACATGCAGTGTGAGCCCAATGCACATTTCAAATGTGAATTGATGTTTGATAATTTTTTTAAATCAAATTTGCCCTAGATGTTGCATTGGAAATGCTCAAATGTTAATACTACCTCAAGAAAGCAATACTAATATATTTTTTCAAATTTTAAAAATACCCTATGATTTTATCTAAAATTACAAGATTATCAAAATGATTTTGTGAGAAACAAATACGATTTATATTTTTTTTATAAAGGTCAAATTTTATTCATTTATTTTTAAAGATTATTTTATATTTATATATATGATTGTATTTTTATTTATTATATATTTGGGCCATATGAAATTTTTATAAGATTGCATACATTCATTTATTTATTTAATTTTTACTTATTAATTTAAATAAAAAACATATATTCACTTCTGAATAAATATTAAAACATTAAAATGGTAAATTTATTATGAAATATTCAATGACTTTTGAAATACAATTTTACTAAATAATACTTACGTCAATATACATTTAAAATATAATTTCATATTTTATTTATCAAACACTCAAATCACTCCACAACTGCATATTCACTGAAACCCACTTCTTCAAATGGACATTAAAAATACAAATGTGTTCCTAACGTAGCCTAACTTGCTTGAAAGTTATATGCATAGCACAGAAGTGCATACTATTACACCGTGTCTCTTGATTAATATATTCATATTGTTTATGTCAGTTCCAAGAACATTAAAATCTTTACTAATAGAAGAAATCTGTCTTCACAACTTGATCTGCTTAGCCTTGAGGACCATAGAACAATGTGTTATTTCTGTTCAAAATGGTTCCTAGTTCATTCCCCTTTACTTTTTAACAGATTATATATAGAACAAACTAGGCAAACCAATTTCAATCTTGAAAAAGAAGAGTCCAAATGAACCATGCTTTTCCTTTCTTAATAGTCATCTTGTATTACAAAAATATTTCTTAAGGATACATTTTATTGTAAGCAAAAACATATTTTGATTACAACATCACATTTTCCATCCTCTAGGGTAGATTCTCTAAGAATGGAGACTATAGAAAAAAACAGCCAAATGATTTATCTGCAAATAAAACACATGTTGAACACCAAATACAAGTGATCGAGGTATGACCATATCAACGATTAGGTCAGCATGGTGACCACAGAGTAGCATATGATACCTCAAAAATTCATTGGTCACAAATTAGCATTTAATGCCTATTCACAACAAGTACACTTCTCATGTATTAACCATTGTATATGCATGAACAATAACCAGCCCACCACTAGACCAAACAGTGAAAACTAGTAAATTGAGCTCAAATGGATTTTCTTAAGTTAAGTCTTAAAAAGTTGAACCTTGATAGACTCAAAATCCAAAGACAAATAGAGAATCTTGACCTAGGTGATCAATCACATAAAAGCAGCAGCATATGAAACACAAGTGCTTATCAAAGTTTTTGTGCTATTATCATGAATTAATAGGACAAGGTAAAGTCAAACTAATACATGATAAGCCTTAACACAGAGAAGTTCTTGAAATTGGAACATAAGTTTGCAAGTTTTACTTTTACATCACAAGGAAAAGGCTTATTGGACTAAATTTAGAGTAACCTGTGTCATTTATTATGCATCTCTAATTGAAGCATTATTAGATAGATAAGATAATATTATAGATTGCCATCAAGCAATTGGAACCAGTGATTGCAAAAGGCGCTCGGGCGCTCGCCTAGGCGCTCGGGCGAGGCGAGGCGAGGCCCGAGCGCCTCGCTAATGTCCCAGGCGGCGCGCTTCAATCAGGCGCCGCCTAGGCGCTCGCCCGAGCCCAAGCGCT